AATCGTAACATAGAACGAAAAGGCAATGTAAAGGATTTGGGTGTACTCATATCGGAAGACCTTACCTTCAAAGAACACAATAAAGTAGCCATCACAACTGCAAGAAAAATGACAGGTTGGATAACAAGAACCTTTCACACTATAGATGCTATACCAATGATGATACTGTAACCCCGCGATTATCCGGGATTCAAACATCCGGAAAACGCCCTTATACGGCCAAAATTGTGATCGGATAAAGTTATCACAATATCCGGCCAAAATGGCCACAGGAACCGGATAAAAGCTGGTTTGGCCGTATTAATCCCGTCTGTGGCTCTAGACGCACTGTGGAGGAGGGGGTGGGGTGGGTGGGTGGGTGGGTGGTGTTGGGATGGTGGGAGGGGTGCGTCGGGAGGGACCACCTGGGTACAGGAATTACCATTAATTTTAGAACAATTAATCATAGCCAAAAACAAATGAAATAAGTACTAGTAATTATGTAATAACAAATAAATAAGTTTCCTAAAAGCATTGTGCACAGGCTGAAGTTTCCTTCAAAAATATTTTGAATTTTTTCCTCCTGGCGGCCTACGTAACGTGCTATAGCTGCCCCACCCCAAGTGGACCCGTCCAACACTGGTCAACCCATGTGTGTCCATCCCTCGTGTTATACACAGTGCTGCGCCATTAGTGAAATATTTTTTTACATAACTTTTTTATTTTCATAGTAACTTTGAACAATTTTGGCCAAGACTATGTCTGATAGCAGCATCAGTCGTTCTGGAGGTGTTAAGAGGAAGAAAGTTGTCCTAACAATTAAAGACAAGTCATTGTTATTCACCTCAACCAGTGCGGCCTCACAGTGCTGCGCCATTAGTGAAATATTTTTTTAAATAACTTTCTTAATTTTCATAGTAACTTTGAACATTTTTGGCCAAGAATATGTCTGGTAGCAGCATCAATCGTTCTGGAAGTGTTAAGAGGAAGAAGATTGTCCTAGCAATTAAAGACAAGTTACGTGTTGTTCAACCAGTGAGGCGTCACAGGCAGCCAAGCGCCTTCAGCAAGTGAGGCGCTACAGGCAAGCCAAGCGCCTTCAACAAGTGAGGCGCCACAGGCAAGCCAAGCTCCTTCAACAAGTGAGGCGCAAGCAAGCGCCTTTAACAAGTGAGGCGTCACAGGCAAGCCAAGCGCCTTCAACAAGTGAGGGCATGCAAGCGCTTCAACAAGTGAGGCCTCACAGGCAACCCAAATGCCTTTAACCAGTGAGGCTTCAGCAGCTGGCAGTCAAAACTAACTTAGCTTATGAACTGTACAGTAATTTTAAGTGTTAATTTTAGTGTTGTGTTAGTATAGGTTACGTAAATTGTTAAGAATTTTTAACTTCAAGATGTGTGGCATCAATCAAGAAGACGAACACCAACAAGGTAAGTTGAGGTTTCTAGTTGAATATTTAATAATTGTATGTGGCAAGGCAATTCAAATTATTTTGTTTGTAGTATAAAAATAGTTGGAAATGGTCACTTTTGGACTCGTAGGTGAAAAAGTACCATTATCCGAAAAATGTGATAATCCGGCTGGGGGTCCTTCCCATATAGTCCGGATGATCGAGTGGAGACGGTACTTTTCAAGACGCTAGTGCTCTCTAGAGTGGAGTACTGTTCCACAATGACAGCTCTTTTCAAAGCTGGAGAAATTGCTGACCTGGAGAGCGTGCAGAGATCCTTTACTGCTAGAATCCACTCGGTAAAACATCTAAACTACTGGGATCGACTAAAGAGCCTAAATCTGTATTCTCTTGAGCGCAGGTGGGAGAGATACATAATAATTTATAAATGGAAAATATCAGAGGGGCTGGTCCCAAACCTGCACACAGAAATAACACCACATGAGACCAGAAGGCATGGCAGGATGTGCAGAATACCCCCGTTGAAAAGCAGAGGTGCAACAAGTACTCTGAGAGAGAACTCTATTAACATCAGAGGCCCGAGACTGTTCAACACGCTTCCACTGCACTTAAGGGGCATAACTGGCCGACCCTTCACAGTGTTCAAGAAAGAACTGGATAAATATCTCCAAAGGATACCTGATCAACCAGGCTGTGGCTCATACGTCAGGCTGCGAGCAGCCGCGTCAAACAGCCTGGTTAACCAGTCCAGCAACAAGGAGGCCTGGTCGACGACCGGACCGCAAGGACGCTAAGCCCCGAAACACTTCAAGGTAACTTCAAGGTTACATTCCCCTCCCCCACTTCGCACCACAGCCACAGAACAACCTCATTGACAAACACAAAGGAGCCACTCTCACAAAGGAGCCAAGTTTACTTTAGATAAAACATATTTCACCAATGAAGATCCTATTAACAAATCTACAGGAGACTTGATGAGGGTTTGAACCTATGCACTGAGTGTTCCCAGACGCGCTCTAGTGAACTGTACCACGACATGTGGTACAGTTCACAGCTCTCGTGGATTTGTTCTTTGATATATCACATTAATGTGATTTCTCTGTGTGAAGATCCTATTAGTAACTAGTAACACTACCTATGAATGAAATTTATTGCTTGGAAAATAATTATGAGAAAAGTAACAGCATTAGATAGTTACACTTCAAAATACACATACTCCCACCACAATCATTGTCAAGAACTGTGCATCACCACCCAATTTGCACCTCGGTATGATTCCTTCATGTGTTTTCTTGATACCAGCTCTTGGTACTTGTGAGACTGTTGCCGACAAAGCATATTTTAGATCACATTCAACCTGGTGGATGCATGAACAATTAAAAGATAATGGGTGGCCAAGACACTGTTCGACCTCCAAAATCCCAAAGTCTTTATAATAGCTGTGACTCAATTAGAAAAAAAAGCTACAAGAGTAACGTACTTCAGTATATAAGGAGAAATAGGATTAACAAAAAGAGCACTAACAGATGCACAAATAGCTCATAAATATTACTGTAGCACAGTTACAGGACAAAAATAAAACTCTTCCTTTAAAATAAAAGGAGGAGTCACAGAAATAAGGGGCAGAGAATAATACATAACATACAATCCAAGGACCAAGTAGGCTCAGGCAGACCATGAGCCAGCCAGATAAAAAAAAATCTACATGGTAGCTTAAAGGGAAAATTAATCACATTCACCATAAAAAGCTAGCAAGAGGGGCTCTGTCAATGCTGAATGGTAAGAGGTGATAGTACTGGACGTAAACCTGCACTTTAGATAGTTAGGAGAGTCAAGACATAACACACAGAGTAATCACACTAACGTGACTGCATCAATAAAAAAATCCGAGGTAGCAGTGATGATGGTTCGAACCTAACTGGTTGATGTTCCCACACACGATTCTAGTGACTAAACCACGACATGGTATAAGGAATGCAACCTGGAGTTCTACTGAACCCACAAGGATTCCTGAGGCTTCTACTGAAGCCAGAACAGGATTTTTACACAATCCACCCATTCACTCTGGCTCTTGTCATCTAAGAATTGTTCTACCTCTGATGCTCCTCTTTCAATACACAGAGTAATCACACTAACGTGACTGCATCAATGAGAAAATCATTAAGAGAAAATGCATCAAATGCATCAATGACAAAATCCTTCTATGAGTGCATGGGAGTAGTATGTGAAAAACCTGTTCTGGCTTTATTAGAAGCCGCAGGAAATCCTTGTGGATTCAGTAGAACTCCAGGTTGCAATCCTTATACCATGTTGTGATCTAGTTGCTAGAAGCATGTTTGTGGGAACATCCACCGCATAGGTTCGAACCCTCATCACTGCGTCTATGGATTTCTCATTGATGCAGTCACATTAATGTGATTACTCTCTGTGTATTGAAACATTTTAAAAAATGTTTGAAACCTATTGAATGCAAACTGCATTAAGGACTAATTCCAGAGAGGTGAGAATATAGGGTATTTGTTTGTCCATCTACAGAGGAAATGAACAGGGAACCATCAGCAAAGAGCAGAGGAAAAAACAAAACTAAGAGCTACTTTGAAGAGGGTCTTATTCAAACCACTGGAAATCTCAGAAATGTAAAGAAATACATCACATCATCACAGAGAATGGGAGGAAATGATTTAGGCAGAGAATATGGATTCATTTACCACAGTGACTAAGGCTGTATGGGAACTAACATAAGAAGCCTCCAAATGCAACTGGGTGACAAGAATGTCCAGAGCAGAACACACATGAAAAACTTCCATTAACTGAACATGAGCCTTGTGGTCTATTGAAACTAAATTTACAGCTAGTGCATTTAACTACTAAATGACATGTTTTTAAATTGATTCATTGTTTCTTGTGAGTGTTGGATGTTTTAAGGCGATAGTTTTTACTCTCTCTCGGTTTGTCCAGGTGTAGGATATATTGAGATCCCTAAAATATTCTCAGCTCTGTAACTACCCCAGATTCTAATCCTGTAGATTTAGAAGGCCTTGAAGTCAGCAGATGCCTGATTGCTGACATTCACTCTAATGCATCAGAGCCTAAAGCTCAGGAAAACAACTGAGGGTTCAAACAAAGAAATTGGAAAATATATATGATCTGCTGTAAATTACAATATGATATGCTCAGAATTTCAGTGAAAGTGAAAATGAAAAAGTGAAAATCCATTTCTTGAATCATATTTTTTATGAACAATCCATTAACAAAATCAGTCTCTTATTATTAGATGAATTCATGATATGCATTATATGGAGATACTGTACATATTTTGAAGGTTTCACTGCATAGCAAAATTTCCTTTTAAGCTTTGATAATGAAATATGTATGTATATCAAAATGTTGACAAATATATGTGGATAACTGCATCCATGTCTATCTTAAATATAATTAACTGTAGTGATGGGTTGGCTTTCATTGGAGTTACAGGAATTTTTCCAGCAGAACTCCAATAATTTTCTTCATAAATCAGACCCACAAATGGGCTGATTTAATAAATACTTTAACCAATTTAGCACACACAGATCTAATTTAAACAAAAAAAACAAAAAATATTTATCCTCACCTTAAAGATGGCATGAATTGGATCAGTATTTTTCTCAGAAGACAGGAAGGCCAACTTCAGGGGAACAGTGAATGAGTTAAAGTAGGAACAGTTTTTCACATCAACCCCAGCAACTTCCAGAGATGGTGAAAGTGGTAGAGATGTAGGGCTAGCCTGTAAATTTCACTCATTGTTAATCAGCAAACGAAAATTATAAACTATTAGTATGAATTTTCTTTAAGTACAATTAACACTTAAGCTGCGTATGGCATATATATACGACCGGAGTAACATGTCCCACCAGGTGCATGGCATACATATACAGTACGACATAGGGTGCCGACCACGATTCAAATGGCCCGCGGTTACACAGGGGTCCACATCAGATTCCTCAGGATTCTTGTCAACAGACACCCTGAGGAAAATTTTAAAATGATTTAAAAAAAATTGTGACCAATGTTCTCAGGTGTGACAGCAACAGTACTGTGTGAGCAACCAAGGCCGGCACATGCAGCATGAGCTAACAGCATTGCTGTTTAGCTTGTGACCACAGCATCGCCTAAAAATGTCAAAATAAATACGGAACTGCTGTTATTTAGCGGTGACAGTATTACATGAGACCCCCGACTGAGATAAAAATGACCAGGATTGTGATAAAAGCAGAATTCTTGAAATAATTAGCACTGTGTGGGAGAAGTAATGCTAAGGGAGGTAGCATTGTTTGCTAAATCTGGGTGGCCACCTGTTGTCTGCACTCACTATACCAGCTCAGTGGTTCTCTATGGTGAACACAAATGTAGATACTTATATATAACGTGTGTGTATTAGTGTAATAACAGCAAAAGGAGTATGTTGGGAGGAGCCATTTGGGTGACAGAGGTGGTGTCATCTGCATGACTTGTCATGCTGTGTAGAGGGTGACCAATATGCTCTTTGGGTACTATAATACCTTAGTTGTACAGTTATGGTGAATAAAACATGTAGATACTTATATACAGTGTGTGTATATAGTGTAATAACACCACAAACATTATTGTTGGTGGAGAATAGTGCCTCTGGCCTTCAACCAGTGAGGGAGGCAGCCGTCAGCTGTGTGTGTGGTGAGGTATCTTTTAAATTGCTTGAACCCACCATACCAGCTTAGTTTTAGAGTTATGGTGAATAAAATATGTACTTATATATAACATCTGTATATAGTGAATAAAAGCAAAATCAGTATGGTGGGAGGAGAATGTCGGCTAGTGAGGTGTTGTTGAGGGAGGGAGTGGCTGGTAGGCTGGTGGGGCGGCCACTCCTCGTTGCTTTTTGACTCACCATACTAACTCAGTGGTTCGTTATGGTGAACAAAACATGCAGATACTTATATATAACCTGTGTATATAGTGTAATAACAGTAAACTATTTGTTTATTGTTTTATGAACATAATAATTGAATCACTAATATTCACACAATACTTTTGAGTATCGTGATGATTCGCCCCTTTTATTATATAAATATTTCACACTACACACTATTTAATAATATTACTGGAAAAAACTAAAAAAAAATCAATCAGAGGCATTAAAATAATTAGGTAATAATATCTTTGTTGCAACTCCAGCCTGACAGCTGTGGCAGAGCTGACCGCCTCTGACGCTTGCTCTGTTAACGTCTACATTTTGCCAGACTTCCTCAGCCTATTGCAGCCAAAATATGTCGCCTACGATTTTTTTTCCTGCGCCCGAAATGAGCCCTAGACGTCACCAACACAGCAGCAAATGCTGCAAACATCTGAACAGCACGGGCACAAAGACAGACCGCAGGCTGGAAGACTGAAAAACTCTGAGAGACCCCGAGCCCTGAAACAGGGAACGAGGGGAACCGGATCAAACCAAAGCGCATCCCCAGACACGGTACGCAGGTAACGGCAAAAAGCTCAACCGGACAACACAGGACGCACCCCCGGCCAAACCAATCAAGCATCAATAACCCAAGAACCCCTCTGGAAACCAGCCGTCTCGACCATCGCCAGGACGGAGAAAGGCTGCACACGTACAAGACTACCACCAGCACCAAAGAGCAGAAACCTGAACTGAAGTGGCTACCACAAACTGAGGAGAAGATAAAAAGGCACCCTGATCAAGGACCAGGACGGCGCAGGCAACGCATGAGCAGGCCGGAGGTGAAACAAAACACGAGAAAGCGTACTAAATGGGGCAGATGTGATGTCCACCCTGAACGCAAGCTGGAGCGGCTCCGCCAGCACCGCACAAAATGAGGCAACAGTAAGAAACATCAAATAACTGTACTCCTGAAAACCCAAGAAAGGGCAAGACAACCCGATGCGAAAGAGAAGACAACGTACAATGAGCAAGAAAAAGTGCATAGAAACACCAGGAACGTCAAACTGTCGCCAAGACGAAGCTCGCAGGTGGGACACCATCAACAAGGCCACCTGAACACCACAGAGATGGTGATACCCGCGTCAAAATACCAGACACGAAGAGCTGAGGAGAAGGCCGAACCAGTCACGTACAGGACCGATTCGACTTGCCGAAAGAAGCGGAGCCACGGGAAAACGCCCCGGGTTCGGACAAGCAAGCAGCGTCTGAAAAGAAAGCTGGGCCAGCCACCAAGGAACCATAAGGACTGCTCTCGTGGAAATGGGCTGCAACCGAGCCAGAACCCGAAGCAACAGTTGGACCGGGAGAAGAACAGGTACCCCCACCTCGACCAGTCCTGCCGAAAAGCATCCAACATGAACGCCTCGCAGGTGGGTAAGGGCGCCACATAAAATGGGCGACGCCTAGACCACGCCGACTCAAATACGTCCATGGCCAGGAGTCCATACGTCCGGCAGAGCCAACAAAACGAGTCGGCGACGACTGGCCAATCCGCGAACAGAGGAATAAACCGAGACAGCTGTCCGCCAGAACGCAGGACACACCCCGGACATGAATCTCACGGTTAGCCAAACCCCGAGAATTCATCAAACGAGCCACTCTAAGAAACCAACCCGAAAGGTCAACACCTAAGAGAAACCCTGTGGTTCCGGCATGAACCGCCAGAGAACAGTCCGAATGGAGCTGAATGGTAGAGCACCGAGTGACCCAAACCCTCTCAAGCACAAACCAGACAGCCACGAACTCCCGAACCGTGCTGTGAGTCTGACGAACGGACAGACTCCACCATCCCCGGCTGACCTGGTGAGCACTGGTCACAAAGCCCCAGCCGAGAGATGACCCGTCCGTGAACACATCGAGCAAAGGCTCTGGGAGGTGCCAAGGCACTGAACCCCGAAAACCCCAAAGAGGAAGCTGGTGACGCAGCACCAACACAAGATCCCCGGAGGAATGAACCCAACGATTGCAAGAGGCAGAAGGGGAGTCTCCGAAGGAACCAAACAGACGCCGAAGCCAAACCCGACCCCGCGGGCAGACCAGCACGTCGAAGTTCAGACTCCCGCACAACCGCTCGAGCAACCCGGGACACCCTCATGAACAGCCGAAGGCGGGACTACGGCCGCAGTAACACTTCTAGAGGGAAAGACAAGGAGTGGCCCAATAGCCCTAAACAAGGCACAGGTCCGAACCCGGGACGGAAACAGATGGAATGGCCTCCAGATCACCAGGAAACCAAACCCAGCGATCTGGAAAGAACAACACCCCTGGTGAGCAGACAAGCGGACCGACTGGGAGCCCACACCAGCCAGTCATCGAGGTAGGCCAGACACCGAATCTCAAGCAGACTCAGACAGGGCACCAAGATCCAGTAAAGATGCAAAAATACACCAAGTGCCAGTAATTGACCTGAAGGTCCAGGGCCACCATCCAGGCACCCGGCCCCAACAGAAGCCGGACAGGAAACAACAGTCCTCTAAGGAGGGCATAGAAACCAGGGCGCAGACTGAAGAAGTCCAGAAGAACCACAGATTCGAAAGGCTCATGTCTGCAAAGAGCAGACGGGAACCCCAGAAGAATGGGGCGGATCGACCACGCCCAACGCACCCACCAAGATGACATGACGAAGCGCAGGGCAAGAAGCCCACCCCGCCAGCTCTGAACCCCCCAAAGGGGGAGTAGCCGTCCACCGCCGCCACCAGAGGCCGGAAGACAACCAAAAGGCACAGTAACTGCGGGACCACGAGAGTTAGCAGAGCAAGCTGCTCCCCCAGGCCCCATCAACGAGAGGGAACAACGAAAGAATAAGTATACATACACATATACACATATAATATATTATGTATATACACTTACACACCACACAGCACCCTGTCAACTTGAGAATGGGAACAGACTTCCAAAAGAAAAAGTACACATACACCTTCTAATACGGTATGTATATACACATACACATACACACAAGGTATGTTACACACTTCACCTGATCTTTCAGGCATCCCTGTGTACAGGAATCGTAGCAGACGGGTGGAAACAGGCTAACATAGTTCCAATCTACAAAAGTGGCAGCAGGGAAGACCCCCTCAATTATAGACCTGTATCATTGACAAGTGTAATAGTGAAAGTATTGGAAAAACTAATCAAAACTAAATGGGTAGAACACCTAGAGAGAAATGATATAATATCAGACAGACAGTATGGTTTTCGATCTGGAAGATCCTGTGTATCGAATTTACTCAGTTTCTATGATCGAGCCACAGAGATATTACAGGAAAGAGATGGTTGGGTTGACTGCATCTATCTGGACCTAAAAAAGGCTTTCGACAGAGTTCCACATAAGAGGTTGTTCTGGAAACTGGAAAATATTGGAGGGGTGACAGGTAAGCTTCTATCATAGATGAAAAATTTTCTGACATAGAAAAATGAGGGCAGTAATCAGAGGCAATGTATCAGAATGGAGAAATGTCACAAGTGGAGTACCACAGGGTTCAGTTCTTGCACCAGTGATGTTTATTGTCTACATAAATGATCTACCAGTTGGTATACAGAATTATATGAACATGTTTGCTGATGATGCTAAGATAATAGGAAGGATAAGAAATTTAGATGATTGTCATACCCTTCAAGAAGACCTGGACAAAATAAGTATATGGAGCACCACTTGGCAAATGGAATTTAATGTTAATAAATGTCATGTTATGGAATGTGGAATAGGAGAACATAGACCCCACACAACCTATATATTATGTGAGAAATCTTTAAAGAATTCTGATAAAGAAAGAGATCTAGGGGTG